ACTAGAAAAATAAGAGCAAACTAAATCCAAATCAAGCAAAGGATCAAAATAATAAAGATTGGAGTTAACATAAATGAAGCAGAGAACAGAGGGAAAAAAACAAAGAAAATCAATGAAACCAAAAGTTGGTCCTTTGAAATGATAAAAGAAACTGACAAACTTTTAGCTACATTTATCAAGAAAAAAAATAAAGAAGACTCACAATATTAATATCTGGAATGAAAGAATATACCAGTACTGACCTTACATACAAGAAAATAATTTTCAGGAAATAATGTTAATAACTGCATGCCACAAATTAGATGACTTTGATGAAATGGACAGCTTTCAATAAATGACTGAAACTTACTCAAGAAGAAATAGAAAATCTGAGTTAACATAAAAAGTAAATAGATTGAATTAGTAATTAACTCCCCTGCCACTAACACACAAAACATTCCCAGGTCCAGTGGCTCCATTGTAAATTCTACCAAACAATGAAAGAAGATTAATACCAATTCCTTCACAAATTCTTTGAAAAAAAAGTAGAAGAGACAGCAGGTCCCAAATCACTCTTTGAGTTCAGTATTACCCTGATACCAATACCAGACAAAGATATATTTAAAAAAATCCTACAAACCATATTGCTTATGAATATAGATCCAAAAGTCCTCAAAAAATACTAGAGAACTGAATATAGAGCATATAAAAAGAATTACACATCATCAGTGAACAAGTTTTGTCCCAGGAATGCAAGTTTGGTTTATCATCTAAGAAGCAATTGACTTACTGTATCATATTAATAGGTGAAAATGACAAAAAACGCAAAATCATCCTATAGATACAGAATAAACATTTCACAAAATTCAACACTATTACATGATAAAACATCTTAACAAGCTAGAAATAAAAGATAACTGCTTGAAATTAACAAAAGGCATGTAATAAAAATCCATAGCAAACTTCACATTTAATAGTCAAAAACTAAATGCTTTCTCCCTAAGACAAGGAACAAGCAAAGGATGTCTGCTCTTGCCACTTAAACACTGTATTGGAAGTTCTAGCCAGGAAAATTAGGCAAGAAAAATAAATAAGTAAAAATAATTCAGATTAAAAAGGAAGTAAAACTCTATTTTCAGATGACCTGATCTTGTGTACAGAAAACCTAAGGAATCCACTCAAAAACTATGGGAACTAATAGACAAGTTCAGCAAGGCTGATGGATATAAAATCAATATACAAATATCAATTGTATTCTTATACAATAACAATGAACAATCCAAAAATGTAATTAAGAAAACAATTACATTTACAATAAATCAAAATAATATAATTCTTAGGAATAAATTTAGCAAAAGAAGTACAAGAATTGTACACAGAAAACTTCAAAGCAGTTTGACAGAAATGAAAGAAGATTTAAATAAATGGAAACACATCCCATGTTGACAGACTGAAAGATTTAATATTGTTAAGATAGCAATATTTCCCAATTAACCTACAATCTCTATCAAAATTGCAGCTGATGTTTTTTCAGATATTGGCAAGGCAATCCTAAATTTATAGGGAAATATAAGGGATCCAGAATACCCCAAACAATCTTGGTAAAGAAGAACAAAGACAGAGGACACTATTTCCCAATTTCAAAACTTACTACAATGCTAAAGTACCCAAGACAGTAAAGTTCTGGCATAAGGTTAGACATGATGATTAACAGAATAGAATTGAGAGCTCTGCCGTCTGAAATCAGCCTTCTTCTTCTTCAAGACTTTGAAGTCTTCTCCAAGCATCCTGGTTGGATGTTCTTCTGAAACTTGGCTTATTTGTCTTGTGGTTTTCATACCGCATACTACCTCAAATTACAGTTATCAGCATACATTTTTTCAACTAAATTGTAAATTCTTTAAAGGCACGTCCTAGTTCATACTGATTTCTGGATTCACCCTTTCCCTTCATGCCCTGCCTAGATGATACAGTCTGAATAAACCAAAACCGGTCAGGCACCGACTATTCGAAAGGAAAAGATTAACTTCTGGACACGTATAAAATAGCTGGCTACCCTAGGTGCTCAGGACTCACCTGTTCTGGCTGGCAAAAGACGCCTGGTCTATAGGCAGGATGCTTTCAGGCCACGGGGCCGTCTGATTTGGAGGAGCTTGTTGTTGACTATACTGAGGTCCCCCATGTTCATCTCTAGTTCAGATGGCCCTAGAAAGGGAGAAGAAAAAAACTTACATCTTTAATCAAGGGAGCATCTAATTATGCTATGTAATTTAAAGTGAAACGTCTGGTTTATGAAAAATGGAAAAGACAGAAGCAATAATAATTAACTAGGTGAAATGCCTAATGTAGATGATGGGGGGATGGATGCAGCAAACCACCATGGCACATGTATACCTATGTAACAAACCTGCACAATCTGCACATGTACCCCAGAACTTAAAGCATAATTAAAAAAAGAAAATGTGGCACAAATACACCATGGAATACTATACAGCCATAAAAAAGTGTGAGTTTATGTCCTTTGCAGGGACATGGATGAAGCTGGAAACCATCATTCTCAGAAAACTGACACAAGAACAGAAAACCAAACACCACATGTTCTCACTCATAAGTGGGTGTTGAACAATGCGAAAACATGGACACAGGGAGGGGAACATCACACATCAGGGTCTGTCAAGGGGTGAGGGCCTAGGGGAGGAATAGCAGGGGGTGAGGGGCTTGGGGAGGGATAACATTAGGAGAAATATTTAATGTAGATGACAGGAATGGATGCAGCAAACCACCATGGCACGTGTATACCTATGTGACAAACCTGCATGTTCTGCACATGTAGCCCAGAACTTAAAGTATAATAATAATAATAATAAAAATATTATATACTGAAAATTTTCTAAGAAAGTAGATTTTAGGTGCTCTTACCTAAAAAATGTGACTATGGAAGATGATGGATGTGTTAATTTGTTAGTTTGTAGTAATCATTTCATTATGTATGTGTATAGCAATACATCATGTTAAACACCTTAAATATATGCAATAAAATAAATTTTAAAAATTAAGACATATGAAATTAAAAAAAAATTTTATTTCAGGTTCAGGGGTAGATGTACAGGTTTGTTATATAGGGAATCTGCATGTCACAAAGATTTGGTGTACAGATTGTCACCCAGGTAATAAGCATGGTACCTGATAAGAATTTTTTCTGATCCTCTCCCTCCTCTTCACCTTCATCCTCAAGTAAGCCTTAGTGTCTGTTCTTCCCCTCCTAGTGTCAGGTGTTCTCATCATTTTAGCTCCCATTTATAAATGAGAACACACAATATTTGTTTTTTTTTAATTCCTGTGTTAGTTTTCAAAGGAAAATGCCCTCCAGCTCCCTCCATGTTCCTGCAAAGGACATGATCTCGTTCTTTTTTACAGCTCCATACTATTCCATGGTGTATATATACCACATTTTCTTTATCCAGTCTACCATTTATGGGCATTTAGGTTGATATCATGTCTTTGCTATTATGAATAGTGCTGCAATGAACATTTCTATACAACTTTTTGTGTATAAATATGTTTAATTTCTTGGCCAGGTGCAATGGCTTACGCCTGTAATCCCAGAACTTTGGGAGGCTGAGGCGGGTGGATCACGAGGTCAGGAGATTGAGACCATCTTGGCTAACATGATGAAACCTCATCTCTACTAAAAATACAAAAATTAGTCAGGCGTGGTGGCGCATGCCTGTAGTCCCAGCTACTCAGGAGGCTGAGGCAGGGGAATCGCTTGAACCCAGGAGGCAGAGGTTGCAGTGAAGCGAGATTGTGCCACTGCACTCCAGCCTGGGCAACAGAGCAAGACTCCGTCTCACAAAAATAAATATAAAAACATTGCAGATTCCAAAAAATATTAAATCCAAAATTTATCCCACAAACTGTCTCAAAATACACACACACACACACACACATATATATATGCACATACATGTATATATGTTTGATTTCTTAGATATGTAACTAGGAGTAAAATTACAGAATCATATGGTAACTCCATGACTTGCTTTTTGAGGAACTGTTTTCCAAAGTGACTGGACCATTTTACATTTCCACAAGCAAAATATGAAGGTTTTAGTTTTTGCATATCCCTGTAAACACTTACTATTGTCTTTCTTTTTCATTATAGCCATCCTACTGAATGTGAATTGTATCTTATTGTGGTTTTGGTTTGCATTTCCTTTAATATTCAGTGATGTTGAGCTTTTTTTCATATGCTTGTTGGCTACATGAATGCCTTTTGAAAAGTGTGTTCATGTCCTTTGCCCACTTTTTAATGGGGTTGTTTTTTCTTGTAAATTTGCTTAAGTCCCTTATAGATGCTGGATAGTAGACTTTTATCAGATGCATAGTTTGCAAAAATTTTCTCCCATTCTGCCTATTTACTCTGTTGATAGTTTATTTTGCTGTGCAGAAGCCCTTTCGTTTAATTAGATCCCATTTGTCAATTTTTATTTTTGTTGCAATTGTTTTTGCCATCTTTGTCATAAAATATTTGCTAGTTTCTATGTTCAGAATGGTATTGCCTAGGTTATTTTCCAGAGTTTTCATAGTTTTAGGTTTTACATTTAAGTCTTTATTTCATCTTGAGTTAATTTTTTATATGTGGTATAAGGATGGGGTTCAGATTCAATCTTCTGTATATGGCTAACCGGTTATCCCAGCACCATTTATTGAATAGGTGCTTGTTTTTGTCAGCTGTGTCAAAGACCAGGTGGTTGTAGGTATGCAGCCTTATTTCTTGCTCTCTATTCTGTTCCATTGGTCTATGTGCTTGGTTTTTTTTTTTTTTTTTTTTTTTTTTTTTTTTTTTGAATAGTGCCATGCTGTTTGGTTACTGTATCCTCGTAGTATAGTTTGAACTTGGGTAACATGATGTCTCCACTTTCTTTTTTCTTTTTCTTTCTTTTTTTTTTCTTTTTGCATAGTATTGTCTGGGCTATTTGGGCTCCTTTTTTGATTCCATAAGAATTTTAAAATAGTTTTTTTTTTCTAATTTTGTGAAGAATTTCATTGGTAGTTTTATAGGAATAGCATTGAATCTGTAAATTGTTTTGTGGAGTATGGCTATTTTAACATTATTGATTCTTTCTCTAAAGACAGACCAACTAAAACTGGGAAAAGGAATTAAATAGACATTTCTCCACAGCAGATATATGAATAGATAATAGACACATGAAAAGATGCTCAACATCATTAGTCATTAAGAAAATGCAAACCAAACTACAAAGTGATGCTACTTCACACCAAATAGGATGGCTATAATTTTTAAACGGCACAATAAAATGTGTTGGCAAGGACGTGGAGAAATTGGAACCCTCATGCATTGCTGATGGGATTGTGAAGTGGTAGAGCTGCTTGTGAAAACAGTTTGGCAGTTCCTCAAAAAGTTAAACATAGAGTTCCATATGACCCAGCAATTCCACTTTTATGTATCCAAGAAAAATGGAAACATATGCCAACACAAAAACCTGTACATGAATGTTTATAGCAACATTATGCATAATATCCAAAATGTGGAAACAACCCAAATATCCATCAACTGATGAATGGATAAATAAGATGTGGTATATCATAAAATAGAATGCTGTTCAGCAAAAAAAGGGAATGAGGTTCTGATACATGCTACAATATGAATGGACCTAGAAAACATTATACTAATGAAATAAGCCAGTCACGGAAGACCACATATTGTATGATTCCATTTATATACAATGTTTAGAATAGGCAAATGAGTAGAGCCAGAAAGCAGAATGGTGGTTGCCTAAGGCTGGGTGAATGGGGGAAAATGGGAAGTGATACAAATGAGCTTGGGGCTTCTTTTGGGGGTGAAGAAACTGTCCTGAAATTAGATTGTGGTGATGGTTGCACAACTCTGTGAACATACTAAAAACTATTAATTTGTATACTTTCAATAGATTATTTTTATTGAATGTTAACATCTCACTCAGCCTGTTAAAAAAATAAATAATGTGCATATTGCAGTTTTTAGGGGTGCAGTCCCCTGATATCTGAAACTTACTTTGAAATTCATCAAAGATACTATGGATTGTTAAAGGGATAAATGGGTAAATAGATGCATAGAGACACAGATATGTGATGAAGCAAACAGCAAAATCTTAACAATCATACAATTTAGGTGGCAATTATATGCATATGGCATTTTTATATGTTTGAAAATTTTCAAATATAATGTTGTAAAAATACCAAAAAAAGTAATTTGAAGCCAAATTTTAGTTCTGTAACCCAGAACCGAGTGTTGCAACCCAGAATGAAGACTTGGTAATATCTACGGAAAGGAGCATGTGTGGAATTCATCTTGGCTTTCATTTCACTAGGATGCTAATCAGCCTATTATTATTGCTTAAAATCCATGATCTATGAGTTTAGGATTAAACTGGGCTATGTGTTGCTATAATGTGTTAATATTTGCACTAGGGTGTTATAATATCTGGAGGGAATATAAAACTATAAATACATTAGTTACTGAGGGTGTTATTTGAAACACTGTTGCTTTAGCTTTATTGACAAAGTAGAATTTTGTGATTATGGAAGGTATGGTAAATAAAATGGCATCTTATTTGAGGTGCTTTTCTTTCCTATCCACCATTTTCAAAATCTTTTATATAGTATATGTTTTCTCTGTGAATAATTTTTCATTACATATATACGTGTGTGTGTGTGTATACACATATTTGACTTTGTTCTTCAGTTTAAAAGTACTTATATGTGTGTGTATATATGTGTGTGTGTATATATATATATATATCGTCACACAAAAAGTAACTATGTGAGATGATGAATATGCTAATTCACTTCACTATAGTAAGCAACTTCACTATCTATTTGTATCCCATATCATGTTCTAAGCCTCAAATATACACAATAAAATTGATTTAAATGAATAAGGAATAAAGAAAAAAAGGAATATTGATCTGCAGTTTTATTATAATATCGTTTTATGATTTTAGTATTAGAGTAATGCTGGCCTTGTAAATGAGTTGAAAACCATTCCCTCCCATTGAATTTTTTGAAAGAATTTGTGGTTGGTATAATTTCTTTCTTAAATGTTCACTAGATTTCAACAAAGAAGCCACCAGAAACATGGAGAGTTTAGGGGGAAGATAGCTAACTACAAATTCAATTTCTTTAATATATCTAGCACTATTCAGATTATTCATTTCTTTTTGAGTGAGTTTCAGTAGCTTGTATCTTTCAAGGGGTTTGTCTATTCATCTAGGTTTTAGAATTTGTTTGCATAAAGTTGTTCATGATGTTCTCTTATTATCCTTTTAATAGATGTCACAGTAATACTCATTATTTCCTTCAAGATATTGGGATTTTATTTCTATCATTTTTTTTCTTAATCAGTATAGCTAGGGGTTGTGAATTTTGTTGATATTTTCCAAGAATCAGATTTAGGCATTATTTTATTTTGGGATATTTAACCCAATTAACATATTTCTGTCATTTGGGTCATCTCAGAGTTGGCATCTGTTGACTGTCTTTTCCTTTGAAGTGGGGTCTAAGTTTCCTGGTTCTTTGTATGCCAGATCATTTTAAATTGTATCATGGCCACTGGGAATTTCATGTTGTAGACACTCTGAATTCTGTTGTATTGCCCTGAACAGTAGTGATTTGTTTCTCTTCCAGTAAGTAATTAAAATATTTAGCACCAAACTGAAAAATATCCTAACTGAAGTGGTCAGTGGCTCAAATCTCAGTTGTTGAAAGCTGTTTCCAGTTTTCCCTACATATGCATTTTTCACAGGTTGAACTGAGTTTAAACACAAAATTTAAGGTTTCCCTTCTTTGATTATTTCCTTTCCAGAGCTCTGTGTTTACTTGAATACCAGAAATATTTCTGGTTTACCATTAGAGTTTCATCCACTTCTATGCTTCTGTGACTCTAGTTACCCTCAGGTACAGCTGTATTCACATGGTGCCGGTCATTTGGTCCCTTCTAAAAATGTTTGTATTTGTACAGTTTCTAGAGCCCCAGGTATTTGGGTTTGTTTATTTTTGTCTAATGTTTATAGCTTATATTTATGGGAGGATCAATATGTTAGGTGCTTACTCCTTCAAAATGGAAGGAGAAACCACTAGTGGAAGCTTTAAGCTAGATAATTGTCTGTTTCTATAGAGATAGACTGTATTCACTTGGGATTGAGCAAAGGCATGAGCCTCAGTAAAGTGGACCCTTCAGAAAATATGTGTAAGAAGTCTGTCTTTAATTAATTAACAGTGAAATCCCTATTTATGATCCAAGTGGGTATGCTGAGGCAGACAGGTGTTAAGAATTTACAGAAGAGGTCTGAGTTGGAAAAAGAATTTTGGCAATCACTACTATATAGAATGTATGATATTTAAGTTAATTATACTGGATTAAACTATGAAAGGAATAATTTTATGTAAAGAAGAACAAAGTCTGAGGACTGAAACGAGACATTTCACAGCTTAGGAGACAGGAAAATAAGAAGAAACAAGGAAAAAGAGACTGAGAATAAAACAATGGACTTGGAAGGTATGAGGAGAATCAAATAAATGCTTCAAGTAAATTGGATTAAAATAATGGCAAATGTCGATAATAAATGAAATAAGGTGAGGACTGAAAATTGGCTGGTAAAATTGGATTAATGTACATTATTGATTACCTTAAAAGAGCAGGAGATTCAAGAAAAAAATATAAGAGGCAGAAATACCTCAGACGTATACAAACCTGTAAAGGGGAACAGAGTAATGGGGTAGTAATTGAAGGAGAAATTTGGAGTAAAGAAAAGTATTAATGTTAGAAGTAATAGCACACAATGTTTATTTGCTGGGAGAAATTATCTAACCAAGGGAAAAGAAAATTGAAGATGTGAGACATGAGTTGGTAAACATTTTCTCTAAAGGAACAGATATTAAATATTTTAAACTTTGTCAGCCATATGATCTCTGTCATAACTGCAACCATAGGTAACATGTAAATGAATGGGCATGGCTGTGTTCCAGTGAAACTTGGTCTACTAACAGATGAAAGACAGGGTTGGGTTGTGGGCTTTAGTTTGCTGGCCACTGATAGAAAGAGAAAAGAAGGTAATATCAGAAATTAAATTCTTGAGTATGCAAGCCTTGAGAGGATCCAATACACAAGTATGAAAATTATCATTTGATCAAAAAAGAAAGTTAATCCATTTTAATAGAAGTTAAGGTGAAATTTGGGCCTTGATACAGGTAGAATGGTAGATGGTGGTTGTAGAAGCATGTAGAACTCTCCTTTAGATTTCTTCTATTTTTCCATGTTTGGAAATGTTAAATCATCCACCTGATCTTAATTATCCTATCTATCTCTGATAAACATCTTCAGCTTTGCCTATCCCTATCCCATGCTCTGCTAATAGTAACAGAATCATTTTATAATAGGGAAAAAGAGAGGAAAATGCAAAATGATTTTAATCATTTCTCACATAACACTAATTCTGCTTCTCATTCATTAAATATCTAAAATGATAGATCAGTCTAAGAAATCAAGCTGTTAGAGTTATTTTTAACCCTTAATTTTACCAAACCAGATTCTAAATGTATAGTAATCCATTTTGTTGTTAGTTTTTTTTTTTTACTTGAGATTGTTCTAAAAGTGTACCTAACACATCTTTTTCCTGTTTGTGTATCATAATAAGGCAAAGAAATATTCTTAGCAATTTTTCCCAGCCATTTTCTAACTTCAAAAACTTTTCTCTAACTATGCTTAGTTTAGTAGAGAAATGTTTATTCTCATTGCATAAAATGACTATATTTTAACACCACTAAGATTTAGAAGGCATTCTATTTTGGTGGAGTACTTCTATGGGAGCCGATATTACATTATAGAAGGTGCTGTAAACTACAATGATTGCAAAAGTAATAGCAGCGAGAATACAGATATTTGAGAAAATTATGTTTTCTGAGATTGAATATATTGACAGGTCTTTCTAGCCTGCCCATTTTCCCTACTCTTCCAAAATCTGAAGTAATTGCCAGTGTCAATGCCCTGGATTCTATCAGGTTTGAGGCCATATTACCTCAGTCTTTTGAGCAAGAACCCTGCAGCCACATTATAAATCATGTTTAA